GGCGATCTAGTGGAAGATGTTGCTTACCAAGTTGATGAAGTTGGGAAAATTAATGATGTAAGTGAAGATGAAAAATTACAAGTTTTTCTGATACAATGGTTGAGAGACATCAAGTTGATGCGTCTATATTGTTGGTTGATGATAATATGGACAAAGAGCATGATGAAGAGTTTGGATCCGAGGACAATATCACATCAGATGATGAGAATGATATGGATGGCGAGCATTAAGATTTAGAATAATGAACTATTATTGAATGTGTTAATGAATATTTATTGAATGTGTTAATGAATATGTATTGATGAGTATAATGAATCAGCTATTGAATATGTTAATGAATATGTATTGAAGAGAATGTATTTTTTTAATTTAGTATTTTTGTTGATGAATATATATATATATATATATATATATATATATATATATATATATATATTAATTGTGTATTTCATATAAATAGGTAAAATGCCACCTCAAATTGATAACAGTAAGGATAGTGGTAAAAATTCCCAACGCCCGAGATTAGTAACATGTGAGGCACCTCAGTCGGTCACGTGCCCTCCCCCGCAGAGTCAGGTCGATCCTATGTCCATGGCCAGTACTCAGCTTTTTGTTCCATTACTCTCGTTTCAGAATATGCCATTCTCATCTGAGAGTTCTTCTTTTATTATCCCGTATGGGGTACCATCTTTTGTTAGGCCACCTTGTTTTCTTTTCTCGCAGACCCAGATTCCCTCATCCTTCAAGCATATTGGAGGATCTATTTTTTCACATCCCACACAGATACCCTAATTCTTCCAACATATTAGAGGATCTAGCACCCCACATCCCACACAGATGTCCTTATCCTTCTAGCAGACTGGAGGATCCAGCATCCTACATCCCACACAGATTCCCTTATCCTTTCAGCAGACTAGAGAATCTAGCACCCCACATCCCACACAAACTAAAGGATCCCGCACCCCACATCCCACACAGGCTGGAGGATCCCGCACCCCACATCCCACACATGTACCTGCACATGAGGATGATCAAGCACAGCCAAATGATGATGATGATGATGATGATGATGATGATCATGATCATGATCATGATCATGATGATCATGATCATGTGTATGGGGATGATGATGTGTTGGATGGAAATGATCTTCGGGGGAATGATGATCCGAGTGAGATTCATGTCATTGACGGGAGATTTTGGATTTGGCCCAAAGGAAACTCGTAAGTTTCTTATTTATAAATTTTTATTTAAGATAATACATTTTCATTTTTAATATAAATTTATATTTAATATTTTTAATTCAAATTATTATTGTTTAGTTTATCACCGAGCCGGACTACTGTCAAGGTTATAAATTATATAATTCAGAAAATGTATAAATAATTTTGGAAGACCTTCAAAGATGTCAAAAATAAAGAAGTCTGGTTTAACAAATTTAAGGTATAATTAATTAATTTTTTAGTTATTGTTATTTAAATTACTATTTCATTATAATTATCTAACTATTTATTTTAATGTCATACAATATTGCAGGAAAAATGTGTGTGGGACCCATTGAATGAGAAGATGATAAAAAAATTATTATGGCAAACCTTCAAGACGACTTTCTGATATAATGCATCGAGTTAGAGAGCATTGAGAACTTCAGGGTATCCATCCCAATTGGATAGGGAAAGAGGTTTTTGAGGAACTTCTTAAATATTTGGAGTCACCCGAATTTCGGGCTAAATATGAAAATATTAAGAAGATGAGGGCATCTGAAAAAGGAGGCTGCATTAATACAGTTGGAAGTATAAGTACCGTAGAGCATGTTCGACGCATGGTAAATATTACCACTTTTTTAAATTATATTTTGATTCATATTTGATTAATTAATATTAATTCTATTATTTAGACCAAGAATTTCGGGAGACCTTCATTGATGATTGAGTTGGTTAAAAGGACTCGGACAAAGAAAACCAGGGATTTTATTGACGAACGCACTCTAAAAACTTTCGTAAGTTATTTAATTTACGTTGTTGTTTATATTTTTTTATTTAATAACAATTTTGTGTCGTGATTTTCACGTGGCAACTGAGAAACTGTGAAGTGAAAATCACGTGGCAATTGAGAAGTCGTGGCGTGAAAATCAAGTGACAACTTTTTAAATATAATTTAATTTAATTTATTAAATATTTAACTTAATTTTTTTATTAAATATATAGGAGGATTATCAGACATTGCTCACAAATTTTCTGAGTCATAATCTTCAATATACTCCAGGAGAGGGAGAGCAGCTTCATTCAGATGTGGTTTTTTATATTTGGGATCAAGTCATTGGCAGAAAAGGCCGTAACGGTTGTTTTTTTGGTGGTGGAAGTTTGGCGGGCACCTTGAGAAGTGGAGGTAGAACTCTATTTCAAAGAGTTAGAGATGAGGAAAGGAGGTCACGTCAACCAAATTTGACACAAGAACAACTTGAAATGGTAAGACAATTGGCGTTAAATGAGGCGAGACGCGAGTCAGCGCAACGTGAGGCGGCAATGAAAGTCTAAATGGAGGACCAAATGGAGGCAATGAGGCAAGAGCAACAACGACAAATGGATGTCATGGCGAAGAGGCAAGCTGATATGGAGCAACAAATGAGACAATTTATGCAAGGGTTTGGTGGAAATCCAAACTTTCGTGGTCAAGAGCCGGAGGATGACGGAAACGAAGATAATTTTGACATTGACAATTATACCAACCAAGATGACCCGTAAACTTTTTTTTTTTTTATTTTACTTTCAAATTTGAATTTGTATACCATACTAATTAATTCTTAAATTTATAATTTTAGTTTATTAATTTTATTGTATTAAATTTAATATATTGAATTTATTTTATATTGAATTTACTATTTTAATTTATTATATTGAATTTATTAAATTGAATTTATATAAAAGAAAAACAAATTCAGTTATTAAATTATTAAAAAATATTAGTGACATGATTTTCACGTCATAAGTTGTGACTTGAAAATCATGTTGCAACTTCATTTTTATATAAAAAAACAAAATTTACTTTAATGACGTCACAAGTTATTAACTATAATTATTTAATGACTTGTTTTTCACGTCACTAATTTGTGACGTGAAAAATACGTCGCAACTAAAGTTACTTTAATCTGTTGCACCTACTTTTTCTGTAGTGTTATATTTCCTATAAAAGTTTGTTGCGACGTGATTTTCACGTCACAACTGTGACATGAAAATCATGTCGCAAACTATTTGCCACTCCCTCTCCAACTACGTGAACGGACACGTCACAAATAATTTATAGTGACATGATTTTTCATGTTGTAACGTGAAATTCACATCGTAAATGAGAGTATTTTTTATAGTAAAGACAATTTATTGTAGTTGGTGTCTTATAGTTTGATGTTTTTGTTTTTTGATGTAGCGGTTCGGTCTTGTACTTGTTGGTGATGTTTTTTGGAACTATTTGCCACCCCCGTACTTTTTGTATTTCTTTCTAGTACTTTTTGCGGTGAAAAATATTTTTGAGTGATTAATATACCATTTTAACTTCTAAAAAAAATAGACTCTTACATCTATTTTTTTGGACGAATTTGTATTTAAGTGAATTTAGAGCATCCACATCTGTCATACTCATTTGCGTTCTTTAAATGGGACTCACATAATTTTTTATATTATTTCACACTTCTCAATTTTTTAAACAACCCATCTACAATTCTCAAATATCCATGTAACTCATCAAAAAATCTAAAATGAGTCTCACATTTAAAACAAATCAACTATATTCTTACAATTTTATTTATTAATTTATTATTATGACCCACTTAATTGGAGTGTAGAAGCGTGTTTTAGTATGAGGACGTGTTTTAGTTCAGGAACGTGAAAACAAGTGAAATATCTATTTATTATTGACACAATTTCTTTAATAAATGTGTAGGAATTCTCAAAGAACACCGATAATCATGCTCTTATGGTGAAGGTATTTATATACATATTTTTTTCTTTTGTATTATTATTTAAATGAGTGTGTCAACCTATACTTATCTCTTAAGTATTATATAAAATACAAAAAAAATATAATTTGTAATTCCAAAGTACTAGATTCCTAATTAGAATAATTACTAACAAAAATATACTTTACAAAATATAATTTAATAGTTTGTAAATTAAATTTAAAAAATATTAATTTATAAATTGTAATGAAATTATAATTATAATTTACTTTCTATTCTTTTTACTATATATATGATGTTTTTAAGGATAATTATGTTATTTATAATTACCTTTTTTATTATCTTTTGTTTTTATTTTCTATATTACAAAATTAATAGGTTTTTTCTTATTTTAACTTCTTTTTTTCTTTTCTTTATATTTCTTCCATAAACCAAATAAAATAGAAATAAGATTGAAACTAAATAATTCCGATTCATATTTTTCAAAATTTTAAAACTGTTTTCTTATTTTTCTGAATAATTAAATTGTATATTTGTGTTTGTCTTAAAGATTAAAATGATTCTTCACACTTATATTTATAAAAAAATTGTTAATAAATCACAACATTAACAGATTGACATGCACTGGTAATGTTAAATGAACCTTTTAACAATTTAAAATAATTTGTAAATAATATCTATAATATCAGGTAATGATAATTATCAAACGGTTTAAAAAATTTTAATTTAATCTTAATAATTTTAAAAGCCATGCAATAAATTATTTGAATCGTTGCGAATATATTTGTTTTTATGATAATATAATAAAATAATATTGTGAAGATATTTACGAGATTAAGCGAGATATTTCAATGTTTTATTTTCAATAATATGGTAGAATTGCATGCACTGGTAATGTTCAATGAACCCTTTAACAATTTCCATATTTAGCTTCATTCCGTCATATTATTTAAACAGTCACATAGACACTTTGAAATCACAGTGAATCACAAGAACCAGTGCATCTATCAACAAAGTCTCTCTCTCACACACCAACAAAACAGTGCTCATGGCTTCCCAAGTCTCAGTTTGCGTTACTCCCATGCTTCAATCTTCTGGTGCGAAATATTCTGCGAAGTCCAAGTATCCTATCAACTTATCCCTTCAATCATCTTTTCATTCTTTGAGAGGTATATTATTTTATATCTTTATTATTTATTTTCAACTTTATGTATTAAGTTTATATTTTAAACCAACTTGGTCTCTGGAAAAATGTTGAACGTTGGTCTGCATGTAAGGTTTTTGAGTTTGTTGGATTCAAATGTCAACTATATTTAAGACATGCCAACATAATAGGGTTTTGATGTCTTTTAGATATTTAAAACTGAGAGACAATCCCTTCCCTATCATTTTGTTAAATTTTGTGCTAACGTTATGATAATGATCTTGTATTTTGGTGGATTTTTAGTTGTTATTTATTTAATTACATACATATATAATAAAAAAATATTTTTAATAAACAATTAAGTACTAATTGTTTATTTTAAAGGTTTGACTATTTAAATCAATGAATATTGTTTATAACAAATTTTTATTAAATATTTAATTGTTTATTATAATTTTTATGTAATTTCTATAAAAAAAATATGATTTTATTTATTATTTAACAATTAATATTTTAACTTATTAACTTTAATAAACAATTTTTTTTATTTTACTTGTAAGACAAAAATAATTAAACATTTGTTGAGAGTTGAGCCATGAATCTGCATACCTATGTAATATTATTTTAAAAAAGCTTTTATATTAATTTTTTTTGTTGTCTTAGAGGATGGCCATTCATAGTAATTATGAGTAGGTTAGTATAATAAATTTACATAAAATTAAATGTTTAGCTACTATCTTTTAATAAATTTGAAATTATATACTTTTACTTAAAATGAGTTTAGAGAAAATATAAATATTTTTAATGGAACTTCATATTATATGCTTGCACCACATATATTATCACTAACATTCATTATAACTAATTGTTGGAAACAAACCTCTAACTTTTTCTAACTAATTTTTTCTATGATAAGATAAATTTCTTTTAAAATTTAAATGCACATTGATAAATTTATTTAATATTTTGGTATAGGTACACGTCCCGTGAGAATCATCAAAGCAAAACATGAAAATAGCTTTGGTGGATTTCAGCCAATACATCCTTCCCAAGGTAATATAATTAGTACCTATTTGTTTTTAGAAAATCATTTATGTTTATTATTATTGAAGTAAACTTTATAATTAGTACAATATCAATATTAATGTAATTAATGACTCTATTTATCATTATCAAATATCTTAATGAAGCTTCACAAGACAGTGTGCTTTTTGATGAATGGCTTGGGGCTGTGAAGAATGATGATAAATATGCTGAATCTTTTCATCAGGTATGTCATCACTATTCTACTTCTATATAGAGTGATAGAATAAAAGTATTTAAGTGTATTTATTGCTTAGGTTTTACCCTAAATATTGAGTGAAGTGACGGTTTAGGATAGAGAATGATAGAATAATGAATCATATTTGTATTTTAAATTGTTTTTCTTCAATTAATAGTTTTTCATATTTAGAATAACATCTATAATGAGTGATAAATAAAACTGATTATTCTTTTTAACATGTGCGTCATAGATATGCGACATATATATGTGCTTATTTTATCTATATTGCACTATATATTATTTGATAATTCAAAAAATTTATGATCTTTTGATTAAATAAATTTTTTAAAATGAATGACTATCATATATATATATATATATATATATATATATATATATATATATATATATATATATATATATATATATATATATATATATATATATATATATATATATATATATAACGAATTATATCTCGTCAACGGGATTTTTCATACTTACTTTTTGGGAGTATATATATGGTGTTGTTTTTCTACTAATCATTCTTGTTAATGTAGGTTATGGTGACCAACCAGATTAGGACGCAAATAAATGAAGTGAAAAAGATGTTGAGGTCCATGGAAGATGGAGAGATAACCATATCAGCTTATGATACGGCTTGGGTTGCTCTAGTGAAAAGCGTTGATGATGAAAATAAGCCACAATTCCCATCTTCTCTTCAATGGATTGTTGATAATCAACTTGCTGATGGCTCATGGGGAGATGAGTTATTTGTGGCACATGACAGGATTCTTAACACCTTGGCTTGTGTGATTGCATTAAAATCATGGAATGTGAATCCTGACATGTGTGAAAAAGGTAAATTTATACATGTTAAATTACATGCTTTTAGTTGTCATAGAATAAAAAGAACTAATTGTGTATATATGTGTGTGTATATTTTACAGGAATGAAATTTTTTGTGGAAAATCTTGACAAGATTCAAGATGAGAATGTTGAGCACATGCCTATTGGATTTGAAGTTGCTTTTCCTTCTCTTCTCAACATAGCTAAAAGTTTAAATATTGAAGTGCCGGAAGAGTCTCCAATCTTGAAAGAGATATTTACAATGAGAGATCAAAAGCTCAAAAAGTATGTATTATTCAACAATTAATACAATTCAATTCATTAATTGTTGTGTATCCAACATTGTAAATAGAATTATTATCTTAAACTTTAACTGATAATTTTAATCTAAATGACAGAATACCAAGAGAAGTGTTGCACAAGGTTCCTACGACATTGCTTCATAGTTTAGAAGGAATGCAAGATTTGGATTGGAACCAGCTTCTACAGCTTCAGTCTCAAGATGGGTCATTCTTGTTCTCTCCATCTTCCACGGCTTTTGCTATTATGCAAACTGGTGACGAAGATGCCCTCAACTACTTGCAAAAAATTGTTGAGAAGTTCAATGGAGGAGGTAAAATTCTCCAACAAAACAATATTTTACCACTTTTTTTAATCTATGTACAATTAGTTAGTCTTGTTGATGATTAAATTCGGTGGATATGTTTATTCTACCAGTTCCGAATGTATTTCCGGTGGATTTGTTTGAGCATATATGGGCTGTGGATCGGCTAGAACGCCTTGGGGTTTCGAGGTATTTTAAGCAAGAGATCAAGGAGTCTATGAACTATCTGTCAAGGTACACTCCATATAGGATAACTTAATTTAAAATTGCAAAGTACTCGAAGAAAAATATGTAAATTTGAGAAAACATACCTCCATTGTCTTCTAGATGATTGATTATTCACTTGATTAATGTAATTTGGAAATTTTAGATATTGGACTGAGAAAGGAATTTGTTGGGCGAGAAATTCTGAAGTTCAAGATATTGATGACACGGCAATGGGATTTAGACTTCTAAGGTTGCACGGTCACCATGTTTCACCCAGTAAGTTTGATATCTGCGTCAGTTTCTCATATTGGTTTGAAGAAGTATATATAATGATCTCCATAAATCAATTTAAATGTTCGGTTTTGATTCCTAATTTGGCAGATGTGTTCAAGCATTTTGAGAAAAATGGTGAATTCTTCTGCTTTGCGGGACAACTGAACCAAGCCGTGACAGGCATGTTCAATCTATATAGAGCATCTCAAGTTCAATTTAAAGGCGAGGAAATTCTTGAGAATGCCAAAAACTTCTCTGCCAGATATTTATCCAAGAAACGTTTTTCTAATGAGCTTCTCGATAAATGGATCATCACTAAGGATTTACCTGGCGAGGTGAGTTCTAAAACACTTTGTTGAAATTCATATGAATTCCACTTAAGACTCGTCGTTATAGAGACGGGATTACATACATACTGATCAATAAAATAATAATGTTTTGAGAAAAAGTGTGTCAGTATATATTTTTTAATTTATACACAATTAACATTGTAACAACTCTGCAGGTGGGTTATGCTCTGGACATTCCATGGTATGCTAGCTTACCCCGGTTGGAGGCAAGATTTTACCTTGAGCAGTATGGTGGTAAAAATGATGTTTGGATTGGCAAGACCCTTTACAGGTAAGAATCCTAGCTTTATCCCCCAATACTTACTGTTTGATTTGATCTTAGTTTCAACATATTGAAAACTTAGAATCTCAACTTTGATAGGATGCCTTACGTGAACAATGATGTTTATCTCGAGCTTGCAAAATTGGATTACAACAACTGTCAAACAGTGCATAATAAAGAATGGGAAGAAATCCAGAGGTAAGATTAATAACCAAAGAACACACTCTTACATGATTCATTCAATGAAAACAACGATTAATAAAATTTCCAATATTTACAATTACTTATTTATATATTAGGTGGTGCCTGGAATCAGATCTAGAAGGATTTGGATTGAGCAAAAAGAGACTCTTGTACTCTTATTTTGTTGCAACAGCCAACATATTTGAGCCTGAGAGGTCTTTAGAGAGACTTGCATGGGCTAAAACAACAGCTTTGATTTGGACACTGAAGTCGTATTTTCAAGACGTAGAAACCAGGGATGCATTTGGCAATCAGCTAAACGAATTCATTAAGGGAGGAAACAACTCAAACAAGTAAATATAGCATTCATATACTCTTTACCCTTCTCATGCCTAGTACTAGGCATCTGATATCATTTGAAAATTTAAACTCTGGTTAATAACTCAATGTGTACATTAAATTCCACGACTGATGCAACAAAATATGTTTTTGAACATGTATGTGTAATTTGATGCAGGTGGTTAAAGAACGAGAGAGATGAAAAACTTCTGGGAGTTTTACTGACAACCCTGGATATCATTGGATTCCAAATGTTTAAGCGCAATGACCAAGAAAATTCACTTTATTTGAATCGAATGGTGAGTGGAAATCCTTTTGAGGCTTATAACTCTAAATGAAATTTGTAAGTGAATAGCAAATAGAAAGAACTTGAGAGTTTTTTGCTAAATATTTTTATTTTGTTAAATGATCAGTGGCAAAGTTGGTTCTCAAGCTGGTCTAGTAAAGGACTTAGCTCCCCAGAAGATGCGGAATTACTTGTGCAAATCATAAATTTAACCTCTGGTAATTGGTCAGAAGATCTAGAGCTTGATCCACAGTACCAGAAATTACTTGAAGCCACTAAGAGAGTTTGCATTAGCCTCCATAATTACGAAAGAAACTTGGTTAGTAATGAATAATAATTTTATGCCTAGCTTCCGTAAAGAGATTTAGTGCATGTTTGGATTGATAATGAGATTAATGAAATCAATGCGGCACTACAATTTAGTTGCAGCTCCAGAATGTAGCTTGTGTCAAAATAACAGTAATCCACCTTGATTCTTCCAAACTCACAAGCAATCCAAACACGCACTAAGTTTAGCAACTATTCAAAAATACTAGTTGCATAGTAAGATGATAAATTTAAACTCAAATTAAAAATTCGAAGTGCAAGGTTATCTTGACTTGGCTCTTTCAATACCCTAACATTCAGATCCTGAATATTTACATTTATGTTATTGTCAGGTACAGGTTGGCACTGATTCCGAAGTAGAGTCAGAGATGCAAGAACTAGTGCAATTGGTGCATCAAAGTTCTCAAAATGATTTGCACTCAAGTATTAAGAATTCATTCCTCATGGTGGCCAGGAGTTACTATTACGCAGCTTACTGTGATCCAGAGGCCATTAGTTATCATATTGATAAAGTTCTTTTTCAAAAAGTGATCTGAAACACTTAATTTTTAATACTTTAAATTTTAACAATTTTTGTTACGTAATAAATTAGTTTTGTTATACCTGCAATTCCATAAAAATATGTTTATGGCAGGTTTTATTCTATCATCATGAATTGTAATCCATATAATTGATAACATCGATCTATATAAAATTTGATCTAAGAATAAATTATCCTATTTCTTGTACAACACAGCCTTTTTACTTCAAATTATGGAATATTGGAGAGACATTTTTTCGGTGGTGTGTTTATTCTACCAGTATGCTCATCTGTAACTTCTCCTAGTAAAAACTTGTAAGTTCATGGGAATCCAAACCCTTCTTGTCATTGTTATAAGGAAAAAAAGAATCGATGAAACCCTAATTTTGAAATTGGATAGCGTGTAATTTAATTAGGTTAAAAAAGGATAATGAATGAATAATATTGATATGAAAGTTTATAATTATCTTTGTAATATTTAACTTACAGTTGTTGGGAAATTGAAAGAAACATAGTAACATAGAAATTGAAATTTTTCTTAACAATTCTGCAACCAAGACCTCCTCAACAGCTTCTTAACATTGATATTTCTCATCTTAACATGAAGTAAATCGGTTACCCATCTTAATAACGTAAAATACTACTAACACATAAACCACACATGAAATTAAAAATACTGGATTGTCCTTTCTTCTGGAATGTGATAAAATATAGGAAAGAAAACTACAATCAAACTTGTATTTTATAACCGTATATTTAACAAGGATTATTTTTTACTTTGTCATTGGTCCATTTTTAAGTCTAGAAGCACAAACAGAAAAATGTTATAATTTTTATTTCTATTTCACACACACAAATCAATATTTATAAACTTTATCTTTAAAAACATGTTTCACGTTATTCCTTTTACTCCATTGGCTTCAAACTATTACTAGGTTAACAAATAAATTTTATTTCAAAATAAATATTATTTTTTCACTTTCTAATCTAGAATTAATTATTAGTTTTTAATTATATTATTTTATTATTATTAATTTATTATTATCTACACTATTTTCCAGGTGTGCATAAATTTATTATATTAAAAGTGTTGGGTCTTCTATAAACTCATTATATCTTAGTTTGCTTTTCAATTTGGCATTCACTATATATTCTCCCTTCTTCTATCTTGAGCTTAGGAATCCCTCTCAGAGCTTCAATAGATATGATTCTTTTCATTCCTTTCAGATGCAAGTGTCCCAGTTTTTGATGTCACATTTTAATTTCATTTTCTTTGGCTAAAGCACATGTTGAGGAGAGTCTCAACTCTTGAGGAACCCATAAATAACAATTGTCTTTGGATCTGATTCCTTTCATAATAACTTCATTCTTCTCATTGCAAACGAGACATTCTGCCTTCGTGAAGTTAACTTTGAATCCTTGATCACATAGTTGACTTATACTTATTAGGTTAGTTGTTAACCCTTTAACAAGTAACACATTGTCAAGTTTTGGGACTCCTGAACATTCTAGCTTTCCAACTCATTTGATTTCATCTTTGGCTCCATCACCAAAAGTCACATAACTGGTAAAATGAGATTTGATATCTACCAATAGATTCTTCACACCTTTCATGTGTCTAGAACAGCCACTGTCAAAGTACCAGTCATCTTTAGTTGATACTCTGATAGAGGTATGAGCTATGAAACTAGCAACATTAGACTTGGGAACCCACTGTTTCTTCTTTTTGCTATTTTGAGAGATCTGATCAGTCTTGGGAAGATGAGTAGTTTTAGGATACCCATACAACTTGAAATAGAAAAGACTTATGTGACCAAACCTTCCACAGTGATGACACCTCCAGGGCTGGAATTTCTCTTTGGTGTGAGTAAATTTTTTCTTACCATGATGTTTGCCATGATGTCTTTTCTTGTCATGATGTTCAGAAATTTGATTCGACATCTTTGGTTTAGACTTGGCATGAGTGGAATTTGATGAAGGTTCTTCTGAAACAGGTTCTTTTTTTTCATTAAACCCTAGACCACTCTTCCCTCATGTCACTCTTCCCACTTGAAAATTTTCATCTAATGTGTCAGACCCATTATTCAACATCTTGAGAGATTTAACCATTCTATCAATATTTGAATTCAGAGAAGTCACTTCACTTTCCAGATTAGAAATAGTTTTCAAATGCTCTTTCCTTTCTGCCTTCAGCTGGGTTATGAGTGCTTTCTGTTTCTCCCCTTCTAGGCAAACTTCTGCACTTCTGAGACACAGTTCTTTGTACGAGGCAGCTAGCTCATCAAATGTTAGTTCACCATCACTAGAGTCTTCATCAGACACATATTTGCATGTTAATGCTTTAACATACTTTGCAAATTCCTCTTCAAGATCACTCTCAGAATCCTCTTCAGACCAAGTAACAGATAGATTCTTCTTCTGTTTCTTAAGATATGTAGGACATTCAGCTCTAATGTGACCAAAACCTTCACATCCATGACATTGTATTCCCTTCCCTTGAGTGGATTTTTCTTTATCCCTTTTTCTTCCAAACTCATTTGACTTAAGGATGTCAGATGAGATGTTCTTGACATTTAATCTTGGGTTCCTATCCATCTTTTTTATCACTTTGTTAAACTGTCTTCCAAGCATAACTAAGGCATTAGATATTCCTTCATCTGTATCCAGATCACAGTCCTCCTCTTCATCTTCAGTATTGGTTACAAAGGCTATGTTTTTGTTCTTCTTTTCAGATATTTCATTGATGCTTAATTCAAATGTCTGAAGTCATCCAACAAGTTCATCCACTTTCATCTTGTCAGTGTCTTGTGCTTCTTCTATGACAGTCACTTTCATATCAAATCTCTTGGGAAGAGACCTAAGCATCTTTCTCACCAATTTGTCTTCTGGAATTTTCTCTCCCAAAGCACTGGCAGCATTAGCAATCTCAAGAATGTTCATATGGAAGTCATTAATGCTTTCATCATCCTTCATTCTCAGATTTTCAAATCTGGTGGTGAGCAACTGAAGTCTTGACATCTTCACTTTGGATGTGCCTTCGTGGGTACATTGAAGAATCCCTCGGGCATCCTTAGTTACTTCACATGTGTTCACTAATCTAAAAATGTTTTTGTCAATTCCATTGAATATAGCATTCAAGGCTTTAGAATTTCCAAGAGCAATTTCATCCTCTTATTTAGACCAATCTTCTTCTGGCTTTAACTCAGAAGTAGATTCTCCATTTTCTCCCAATTTGACAGGGTGTTTCCATCCTTTTAAAACAATTTTCTAAGCCCTGTTGTCCAAAGACTTTAGAAAGGCCACCATACGAGGTTTCCAATAGTCATAATTGTTTTCATCCATATGGGTGGTCTGCTCACAAATCATCCTTCCTTGTCTATAGTACCAGAAAATATCTTCCCTAAATCTCACTCAGATATAGAGCATGATGCCTGCTTTGATACCAATTAAAATTCTGATATCAGATATGTGATGTCGAAGGAGATGTCACGACACAAATATCTGAGAACAATATAAAATGTAACAATATTAAAAGAAGTAAAAAACACAAGGGATTATTAACCCAATTCGGTGTACAGCACCACCTACTCTGGGGGCTACCAAGTCAGAAATAAGTTCATTAAATAGTATCAATTCATAGACTCTCTGTAAACAATCAGTTTACGATTTAATCACTTAATCACTACTCGTGTTATACTTTTACCTAAGACACGCCTAGGTATGAAGCCCTCCTCAAATCCTTTCAATCACTAACAGTGAAAAACAACAGAAATATTAAGTTTTAAAGACTTCAATCATTCAATACTTAAAAGCTTATGAATGATCAACAATTAACAACTCAAATTACAACTCAAGTTTTAAACCAATTGTTCTGGACTGGGCCCGACAGGCCCAAAAGCATTGCAAAGGCCCAGTCCAAATGGACTTACAAGGGCCACGCCGACCATAGAGTACGATTGTGCCTGACGCGCAGTCGCCGGCTCGACAGTACACCTCCTGCTCGACATGCTGTGGTCCAGCACCACATTCTGAGGTCCTGCTCGACGTTACCTCGAGCACCCCAACTAGGGCAGACTCAGTCCACTGTTCCCCCAACGATACTCCGAAAAGACCGCGTCTCCGTCCGCCCGCACTTCACGCAGAACATCCAGGAAGGGGACCACGTGCGGGTCCCCACTACCCACGTAGAACCTGGCAGTTCCTCCATTGGGCCAAACCTGCCCGGCCCAATGAAGGAACCTTGGCCCAGCGCTGGAGGCTATAAATACCCTTTGTTTCCAGAGGGTCAGGTATTCATCATTCTAACCTTACACTTGCTATTACTTGCTCGTACTCCTACTTACTTCAGCATCGGAGTGCCTTGCAGGTACCCCCCCCCCACCTCGTTCAAAAAAGTTTTCTGCTCGGAGCCAGCCGTGACGGTCCATTTCTGATCAGGACAGATCAGTGGCGCCGTCTGTGGGAACTAGCTTCCCCGTCTAACGAACAACTCTAAAAGACCAAAGCTCAATTCAACAACCTGTCATGGCTGATCCAGCTCGCGACGAGCAGCCCGTCCGTGTCGCCGACACTAATAACGGTACCGCGGACAAGAATGGACACCTCGATAACCCCGGTGATCCCGGCCACGGTGCCATCCCTGTGACAACCGCCCCTGGACCTTCCTCCTACAGGGACGGGGCTACTGCATCATCCTCTACGACCCCTCCAGCACTCGAGGACGAACCGGAAGCTCTCGCTCATCACAGAGCTGCCCGGTTCTATGAAGTCCCAGTTCCCGCCGGGGCAGATGCCACGACTCAGGCACTGTTCGCGGCCATTAATCAGACAAATTATCTCATCTTCGCCCAAGGAGAAAGACTAAGGGCACTTGAAGATGATCGACGACCCCCGAGGAGGCATCGGAGGCCACATTCTCCACCTCCTCGGGTCACGGAAGTTCGACACCCTTCTCCCCCGCGAAGACACTACAGGGAGAACTCCAGGAGCCCTTCTCCCCGGCCAAAGCAGAGGCGG